GGTGTGAGGCATAAAAAGGCGTAAGCCTCACCATTGGTTATTCAATGATTTAATGCAGAAAGAAAACATATATTTCTTACATTTTTATAATTCAAAATATATGGAAGAAGCATTTCAATAATTATGGGCCAAATAAAAATACTAAAAATGAAAAACCAATAGGGCAAATCAAGTTCTATTAATTTCTTTTATGCTATGTTTGGTCTGAAGGAAAATGTAGGGAAAGGAAGCGAAAGGCAGAAAACATATACAAGGTTTATAAAGGTTTCCCTACTTTTTCCTTCAAATCAAACACAACTTAGTGTTTTAGGAGAGTTTAATGCAAAAGATGAGCCAAATTCTTAATTTCACTTGGATAAATCAAGTGGGGTTTTTTTGCATAGATCAAATGAACTACATTGTTTCCTTTCTTCTAAACTACATGATGACCATAAATATAATATCAATTATATGGATGATTCTTTATTTGTTTTCTTCTTCTAAATTGGCCATTTAAATAATTTAAGAACTTTGCGTTTTGAAAGATGATTTATAAATTAAATAATTGATGTTTGTACCTTTTATCATTCTAACTCAGTATATTATATGATATTTTTATTGAACTAATTATTATTATTTTTTTATTTTTTAGGCTTACATGTCTCAACTACTCCTTTAGCCTTTTAAAACTGAATTGGGATCTTCTACCAGCAAAACATATTCTAACACAATTCCAACATCATTTTGACATTACATATCTCATAATTAGAATGAGGCCAACGATAAAACTGGGACTCACCACGTATGAGGGGTGTGGTGTCATATCATGTTGGAAAGGGTGTTGGGACATATTTGTTAGCAGGTGATCTGAATTCCCCATTCCCAACTATGTGTATATCAGTGTGCCACCGTATCCATGCCATGTTTATCTAGGTGTACTGATGCCGATACAATATGCCTAATATGTATCAATATTTTGGTCCTTCCTAGGCCTCATTCTAGTGGACCAAAGCAAGAGCATAATAGGGTCATGTTTGGTATAAATGATTATGGCATTTTTCTTGTCTTTTTTTTTTTTTTTAATTAGAATGGTGTTTGGATAGACCTCCTCCCCCTTATCTTTTGAAACAGGATTTAGTCAGAGCAAACTCCATTCGAACAACCATCATAACCTTGCATTGGGAATATCTCTCCATAAAATAAAGCATAAAAGTACGAAGATATTCTCGATGCAAGGCTATAAAGGCTGTTCGAACAGTGTTTGAATGGACTTTGCTCTGACTGAAGCGTGCCTCTTATCTTTTTGACTCTACGGAGCTACACTACACAATGGGAGTAGTCCATCCCCCAAATCTAGGGGTGCCATAAAAAACGAAAAAAATTGAATTGAACTAATGAAACAAACAAAAATTTAGAATAATTGAGTTGATTGGTTTGGCTTCATTCTAGGGGTGATCATTTCAGCCCGGCCCAAAAAATCCATGCTTGGGCCTAGGTTTTTTGTTAAGGCCTAGGCCTGGGCCCACATCAGGCCCGCAAAATTTAGGGCTAGGCTTGGGCCTAATTTTTTAGGCCTGACTTGGATATATATATATATATATATATATATATATATATGTGTGTGTGTGTGTGTGTGTGTGTGTGTGTGTGTGTATGTTATTTAAAATATTTGATAATTGATGTTTTATATATTAAATAGAGATTAATAGAGATTTGTAGGAGATTAAAGATTTTAATCCTATGGTCTTAGATCTCACCAAATTCTAATATAGTATTAATGAAATATAGAAATTACTAAACCCTAATCTTCTCGGCTCTCTCTCTCACCAATTTCACAAAACCACCACCACACCCAATCTCTCTCTCACCAAAAGATGAATCTTCTCGTGATGAAGATAAATCTGAACTTTAGAGTGGTTGCAAGTTTTGAGTAAAATTGAAACCATTTTCAATATTTTATTACTTATTTATTTACATTAATTTGAACTATTTTTTCTTAGTTTGCTAATATCTTTTTTATTTCACTTTTTATTTGCATGAATTGAATGGAAGATGGAGCCCCTTATAGAGATGTTTAAAGTTGTTTTGTAGATATTACATGACAATGGATGGTTATTTTTTAATAGATATTATAGGTTCTAGGTTGATTTTTTGTTGATAGAAGAATTGATTTGTTAAAATTATCATTTTTAACATACTAATGACCACTTGAAACTTATAAATTACAAGGTATAATTATTTAATTTCTTTTATGTTAGATTAAGTTTAAAGTTTCTTACAAGTTACTATAGTCTCCACGACAATAAGTGAAAAAAAGTACAATTGTTTAATTCTGGAACTGAAATATAATAATTAGGCTTGAATCTTGGCCCAGCTTGACTCGACCCATGATCACCACTACTTCATTCTGGTGGTATTTTGAAAAATTGAAGGCACTAGCCAATTTTGGTTAATTAATATAAAAAACTGGTGAATAACCAAATCAGTTAGTATATATGTTTATATATATTTATTTATATATACATTATAGGGTCATTTACAAGAACACCACCTATAGTTTCATAGATTTACTTAAATCTACTCTATAGTTTTCATTTTACTAAAATATCTCATATAGTTTGCAAGCTATTTACTTAGGTGGCGCTTGATAGCACTTTTCAGGCCTCTAAAATCTAAAAATGTTGCTTTTCAGTTGCCACCTACGTTTGGGTTGGGTTTGATTATCATATTTGAAACCTAATTTCATATCTAAATAGAAAAGAGCTTCCTTAGGTGCTTAATGCGCTGAGAGGCATTTTAGATGTGGGCAAAAGACAAAAGAGCCCCTATAGAAATTTGAAATGATCCATAATGCCCTTCATATAAGCCAAAAATTTAGGTCATTCGACTCATCCCTGATTCGAAAAAGGAGATTTGCCGCTAAGAAGTTTTGTACTCTTCTTCTTCGTCGTCATCATCATCGTTGTTGTCATCTTCTTCTTCTTCTTCTCCACTCGATGGTGCGGCGCAACGCAAGCTTGTCCCTCCACCGTTCTCTCTCTCCCCCTCTCTTCTTCTTCTTCTTCTTCTACCTTGTTGTTCTCTACATCCTTTGCTTTACAGATATGCAGATCTGTCTAAAGAGAATGTCGATGTTTCTCCCAGCGTTGCTACATTTTCAGATCTTCTTCTTCTTCTTCTTCTTCTTCTTCCACTTTTTCTTTCCTACCACCGCTGCTATAACTTTCAGTAGCGGCATCTTTGATTTCTCTCTCTCTCTCTCTCCCTTGTCTTCCCGCCATCGTTGTTGCAACTCTCAACAATGGCATGTCTTCGATTCCTCTCTCTCTTTTTCCTATCTTCTAGTCACTACTGTTGCAACTCTCAGCAACAACAGCGATTCTTTCCAATTTTGTTCTTATATTAATAAATTATTTTTTTCATAAATTATATTTGTATTAATTATTTTAATTTTAATTAATTATTAAGTTTTTTAATAATTTAAGATATTAATTTGATAATTATTAATTTTTTTATTGCTTAATGATCTTTATTACTATTTTCATTATTATTTTAACTCTTAATAATTTATTTTTAATTTATAAATTGATATGTATTTTCAAATTTATTCTTATTTTAATAAATTATTTTTTATTTTTTATAATTTACTCATATTTTTCAATATTATTTTGAATTTAATAATTTTTTTATGAAACAATGCAAATTGAACTCAAAATTACCAAATAGTATATTTTAGGGGTAAAATAATAAAATCAATGAATTTCAGATGCTGAAGGTTTGATCCAACACAAACAACCTTCTTTATTTAGAGCCTCTAAAATGTCAAAAAGCAACTATGTCTTTTTTTTAGATTTTCAGACACTTCTAATATCTTTTTTAACTTTTCAGATTTCAGATTTATCAAATGCCACCTTAATCAACCTTTGGTTAAGAAATATCTATTTTGCTATCTAAAAATAATAACATGATCACCTAAACTAAGTGGAAAATGTTCAAGAGCATGGACCCATTGTTGTTTATTCCACAAGTATCCTAACACTTCTTTGTATAAAAAACAAAATTAACCAAATAAAATCAAAATATGTGGTTGTTCATGTCTTAACAGGGGGCAAAAATGGCATTTGTTTTTATTTTCTTTTGATTAAATTTATTAAAACGACATTAGGGTCAAATCTATCATTTTCTGGTTGATTGAGTAAATTGATTACAAATTATAGGGGTGTTTTAATAAATGACCTATATTATAAATATGGGAAAATTCTTTATCACTACCTTGTACTTTGGCTCGAGTGACAATTTGGTTCCCGAACTTTAAAATGAAATAATCCAATACCCGAACTTTCAAAATGTGACAATCCAATATACCTACCATTAACCAGTCTGTTAATCTACTATTCAATGTCATTTGAAAGGTCAAAAATGCCCTTCAAATGCCATCTAATTTTCTTTATCAACCATCCAAATGTTGATAAAAAACTGAACAATCCCAAATCCTAGCCTCTTCTTTTATAAAAGGTTGATGAATGTTTAGGAGAATCTAAAATTTGGGATTGTTTATTTTATTGTCAATGTTTGGATGGTTGATAAAGAGGATTAGATGACATTTTTAGGGTATTTTTGACCTTTCAAATGTCACTTAACAGCTGATTAGCGGCATATACTGAATTACCACATTTTAAAAATTCGAGTACTGAATTGTCACATTTTGAAAATTCGAATACTATATTATCGTATTTTACAATTTAGAGACTAAATTGTCACTTGAACCAAATTACAGGGTACTGATCATGAATTTTCCATATAAATATCAAAACAACCAAAAAACCAAATTAATCGAAATCGAAAGAAATCAACCGGTTAATGTATTGGATGTTTTTTCAAAAACCGATTGTGGATTGTGCCAATTGGGTTTGAAAAATAGCCTCACGGTTGATTCGGTTAACCAAACCGTGTGGCGTGTGCACCCTTACTTAAATCCATAAAACCCCCCACCCCCTGGTTGTGTAGCCCATGAAGCGAAAACAAAGATAAATCCATAAAACCCCCCACCCCCTGGTTGTGTAGCCCATGAAGCGAAAACAAAGATAAATCCATAAACCCCCCCACCCGCTGTTGTGTAGCCCCATGAAGCGAAAAAAAATATAAATCCATAAAACCCCCCCTTTGTCATTTGAGTTTAATCAATTTGAGTTCTATTGTCAAATCCTATAAAAAAATGGATTGTCTGAAAAATCAGGGCTGCATCATAAAAATGGTGATCAATCAATCGGTTGGCATGGGAGGTTGTGATTGTTAGATCTTCCGGTATCAAGCCTTTCCGGTTTCCGGCATCGTAGATAACAAATGTTTCATTTCTACAACTTGTAAGCTGTAACTACTGTTCTTCGAACATTCCTCTCGTTCGGACACATATTGGATCAATCATCAATGTCGAAGGATTCCTCAGCTGATGAACCCAATGTCTCTCGCATGATCTTCCGAGTTGCAATTGTTTCAAGACTTTCTGTTCTAGTCCTAATTGTCTTTTGGAGATATCTTCTGAGCCCTTACGACACCTCCGCCTCCTTAAACCCTAGTTGTCTCTTGGATTCCACCAATCAGTCTTCAGTTGAATCCGTTCTATGGCCAAGGGTTCGAGTGGCGGTTGAGGATAGCATTGTATGGGACAGTGTTTACTTCGTCAGAATCGCGCAATGCGGATACGAGTACGAGCAGACCTATGCATTTTTACCTCTTCTTCCGGTTTGCATCAATGTCTTATCTCAAACTGGTAATGGAAATTCGGTCATTCTAGCTTGTCAAATTTTATTATCCTGGTGGTTTTTTTTGGTCAGGAAAATGCTTTAATGGTTTTATGATATTTTCTCGTCCAGTTTTTGCTCCTTTGGTTCCACTTATTGGGTACAGAGCGGTTTTGGGCTTATCAGGCTACATACTCAATAACGTTGCGTTTCTATTTGCGGCACACTACTTTCATAGGTACTCTCTCTCTCTCTCTGTCTGTCTCTCTCTCTCTCGTTTGGGAGTTGGACAGTTAATTACTTAATTCATCTTAAGCTAATTAAATCTACTTTGCTAGAGTCAGTTTTCTTTCTAGAGATGAAATGAACTAGCTGGGCTTACTTGACAGATATGTTGGAAGAGAAATATTCACTACAAATCAAAATTGTATTCAATATCCAACAACAAATACTCTTCTGCAAGGTCCAAAACTGAAGAAAAGTTGGTATTTTGTCATAGGGATCTACTCAGAAACCATGAAATTCAGCAGCTACTAACAACATTGGATAATTGTGTATAGTGTACATTGTGATAATGGTATAGGAGATTAAATGTAGCTGCTATTTTGTTACATGATCCCATCTTGCCTTGGATGGAATTTCCAGAATTTAATAGTTCATTTACCTTAATGGTGCTCCAGTTAGTAAAAACTACTTCATTTTGTTATACCTGTGGCTGGGAGATTGATGCTTCTGGTTGGCTGGTGCATTCATGTTTTAATTGGAAATTCTTCTCAAAACTATTTGTTTAATGCGCATTTTTCTCTTCTTTGTCAACCTAAAAAATGAAACAATTATTTCAATTTCATTGTTTCTTTTTTTTCCCCCTTCTTTTCTCTTATTTCTCATTTTTGTATTATTTACTTAAATGTTTAATCCCATTTCATGTTTTAATTCTAGATGAACAAATTCTAAATCTTATACCTGTGGCTTATGTTTTTGCAGGCTTTCAATTATAATTTTGAAGGACACAAAGGCAGCTTTACACGCTTCCTTTTTGTTCTGCTTCAATCCTGCTTCCATATTCTACTCATCAATGTAATCTTCTCCCATCATTTTAAAGTAAACAGGAACATAATTTTCTCTATTTTGATGAGTAAACTGATTCCCATTTTGTCCTCATGATTTGTCAGATATTCAGAAAGTCTTTATGCCCTATTTTCACTCGGAGGGATATACCACTTATTATCTAGTTCAAATAATATTGCCATGCTGCTGTTTGCTCTCTCTGGTTCTGCAAGGTCAAATGGGGTGCTTAATGCTGGCTATTTCTGCTTTCGGGCTATGCATCAGGCTTATGATGCTATCTTCCAAAGAAAGAATATTATTGTAAGTCTTCAGTTTTTCTTTTTCCTGCATGTTGAGAAATTGGATCACAGTTAAAAGAATGTTCATTGCAATGGATGATATTTAATTGACTGTAAGGCATAGTGTTGCAAGTTGCACAGCATCATCTCTGAAACAAAATGATTTTATCAAGGTTGGGAATTTCCTTTCCATGGACAAGAAGTCAACAACTTTAGTTTCCTTGAGTTTCCATAAAGACTTGTGAACAAATCAAAATTTTCAATAAGTTGTAGAACATATTCATGAAACTGAACATCCTGATTTAGTTTCATTTAGAAAAATTGGTTTTATGTTTTTTTAGAATTAACCAACTTTGTCTATTCTTGCTCATTTATCAGCAAGTCATATATCTTCTTAAGCATATATATTCAACAACAGATATTAGTTTCTTATACCTTATTGTTTCAGCTCAACAAAATTATCCTTCTGGAATTCATATCTATGTATCTGGGTTTCTGAATTTTGGATAATTTGTATCAAAGACATGTGCAAAATGTGAGGACAAATAATGATATCCTGTACATGTCATAAGTAGGACATTATTACTTCTTAGCTAATATTACAGTACTGACAAAAGAACCATTTTTTTTTTAAATTGAATTTCACTTGGTGACCGGTGAGACATTTAGGGAGAATTTGCAAGAAAACAATAGAAATGTTGTCAAAATAGAAATAGAACTACAGGGATAAGAAAAGTTTTAAAATTGTATCATTTTTCTGACTGGATTAAAAGTATTTGTATTCATTTATTCAAAGTATGGAAAAAGGTCCAAAAAAGATAATGTACACAAACAGCATAAAGACAAATACAAAAGAAGGAAAGAAGATGAAAAGAAAACCCAACAAATTGATTCTTGACCTGGCCTAGCCAAGTACAATACAGGAGCCTACAAGTCGTTGTTACATTATCTCAAATTAGTAAGTATATCACCTTCAACACCACTTAATTTGTAATGTGGATGAATATGAGTATCAAAAGGCTTAACTCCTAAATTACCTTTTTCCTGTAATAAATTCAAACATATTTTCTATGTGATATTTAAATATCCTTCTTGGACTGAGCAACTTCAAATCCTAAGAAATGTTTGGATTTCCTATAACCATGTTATAATCTACACATACAATCAAAATAGTCAAGGAGTACCATTTCCTCTTTTTAAATTAAGATAGGTGTGCATGTGATTGTTTGAATCCTACTCTCTAAACCATTCCCCAAAACCTGTCAAAACTAGGCTTGAGGAGATTGTTTTAGACCATATTGATTTCTTAGTCTGTACACTTTACCTATTGTTGATTTATAGGTTGGACTAAAGTAACTAGATGAGAAAACAGTAGAGAGAGAGGAAAGTAGGGAGAACAGAAGGTGAAAAGAGGCTATGTTTCAAACAGGGGATATTGGAGAGGAAGGAGGAAGGCTGAGGGTGCAAGAAGGGTAATGGAGGGGAGGAAAAAGAAAAAATGGCTTGGTGGAGGGGTTACAAGGTGTGGGGTGTGAGTTCAGATCTTCTGATGAGCAAGGGGTTTCTGACTTCTGCTTGAATGGAGTGTTGGTTGCAGAGGCATTGGTTGAGATGGTGGAGCACCAGCGGACTGAAGTTGATGATAGGGAGAGAATTCCAGGTTTAGAGGAAAAAGCTCTTTCTGCCTCTGAGCTTAGAGGGGATGAGAACAGAGTACCAAGAAGTGACAGTAAGCGGGGAGGAGAATTGTGTAGCCAGAAGAAAGATGTGTGGTAGCTTTGAGGTGGCTAGCTCTTCAACAATGAAAACCTAGAAGTAGTGTGGTATGGATTCCACTGACTGAAAGATTTGTAAAATTGAATTTGAACAGCAGCAATAGGGGAAATCCAGGACTTTCTGGTATTGGAGGCATCTTCAGAAATGATTTCATTCATGTGGTGGCACTTTTCCAAGGTCCGATTGGTCATGGGGATTCCTTGAGGGCAGAACTAATGGCAGTTGTGGAAGGGGTAATTAAAGCAAAGGAATTGGGGCTTCACAGGTTGATTATAGAAAGAGATCCTCAGCTGGTGATCTATTGGTTACAAAGTAAAGGGATTGGCTTTTGGAAGTATCATGTTGAATTAATGAAATTTAATTGGCTTTCTAGGGATATGAATGTGAGGTTCTAGTGGACCCAAAGGACAGCTAATAGTATGTATGGATGACAGCTTGGCAAAACAAAGGGTTGGGGAAATCAATTTTTTGGGCTAAATTTTAAAAGCTTTTGTTCTTGGAGATAAGCCACTTTATTTCCATTTGTATGATTGTATCGTATTCCACTTTAATTAATGAAAGTTTCAGTTATTGATAAAAAAAGGAGAGCGGGGGTTCAGTTGTCTCCATTACAGGAAACTATGTGGAAGCTTTTATTGGGAGATTGGCAGAGATTCGGGAAGGAGTTTAGACATTGGAAAGAATGATGTATTAAAAAGGAATATAACTAAAAGCAAAATTCCTTTAAAGTTTAAACCCAAAAAGGATTAAGGGTTCAAAGAATGGTCAATTGATTCATATGACAAAGATTTTTTCCCAGTTAAAAGAAGGAATTTGTGGAGCAGGCCCTTGCAATAAATTTAAAAGGGTGCACAAGAGGAAGACAGTGAAGGACAAAATAAGAAGTAAAAATGGGGCAGATAAAGGTTCTTTAACGTAATCAAAATCAAGGAGTTTGTTCTAAGGAGTTTGAATAAGTTTATTATAGTCAAGTTATTGAAGAAGAGGTGGGATAGGGAGCTCTCAGCCTCTCGAGAACAACAAGGAATTTAAGGAAACTACAGCTCAATCCCCAAGGAAAAGAAAGTATAGAACTAAACTTATTGAAAGACAAGGAAGAAAGGGAAGAAGAGGATTCAGATGATTTCAAGAGAGAGAGAGAGAGTTAGCTCAATGACATCATGGTATGATAGTATCAATACATTTAGAAGAAAAATAACCTTTTGAGAAGAAATGACTGTTTAGAAAGTTGCAAAAATTCAAAAGAAAGTAGCAGAAATCAGAGTTCAAGAGGAGAGAAGAAGAAGAAGAAG